ATTGCGAGAAAAAATTAATTGACAATTAGTAGTTATAGAGCTAAAATATGAAATTCAAATGAGAAACTTTTTTATTTCAGTATAATTATTTAATCAAGATCAAAAACAATAAAAATATCAATGGATGGTTTAATGATAATGAAGTAAAAACAAACAGAACCACATGAACACATCAAATGAAAACACGTCAAATATAATAATTGTTTCCATTATCAATATTTCGTCGGCCGAAGATAATAGATAATATATCCTAACAAGCGTTTATTTAATTGTGATATATGATATTTATCCTAATCAATGATAATAATGATATATATCCTAATCGAAGATTAACAGTGATATATGTATGCTAATAACCGTTCTTGCAATGACACACAATGTTAAAAGTGATAAAATTCTGGAAGAGAAAATTTTACAACTTATCGTACCGTAAAGCATTTAAGCTAAATGAACTGAGAAGAGAAAAATAAGATGAGAATGAAGCAGACAAGTAATAGAAAAGTAAATAATACAATCGTCTTCCTTTTTGAAGTTAAAAATAATATATACGATAGCATAAGAAATTGAACAAATATAAATTTCTCGATTAAAAGTAAACAAGAAACAAGTAAACAATCCAGGAATTACACAGAACTAAAATGTATGGAATTGCAGGCCTCTTTCAAAAATGAAAATTGGAATCATTTGAAAAAAAAAAAATTATGATAATGATCGGAATGATAGAACCAGCTATCAGAATCAAATGATAGGAAGCATTCGAGAGTGATGAGCTTGAAAATCCAGAAAGACCGCCTCTTCTCGATCTCCTTCTATCCAAATGGGAATTGCAGGTGGTGTGCGTTGCCATGATGTAATATAGAAGAGATCCATCTTCTCATTTGGCTATTTAATTTTGTCATTCCTTAACGAACTGGCAATTCAAATGTGAGCAAAGATCGTGAAAGTTCATAAAATTTAAATATTTCATCAAAATTTATCTTAGTAATTTTTGAGGTGTGATCAGTATTAAACTTCTGGAAATGAACTTTTCTCTTCTCAATGATATTATTAACCATGACAGGATAGAATTTGTTAATGAATTAAGCAAGAAATGATAAAATGAATTAAGGAAGCAATGATAATTGAGACAATCATCGAAGTCATTTCTCTTTTCTCCCTCATTATCACATAAATGACGCAATCATAATTATAATTACCAGTTAAACCTTTAAGAGTTACTTCCTGGAAACGGATAATTTTGTAGAACAAACATTTCCGCTTCAACTACTAATTGCGTGCGATAACATGTTTGTATAATTAAACAGAGAGTACTATGTTGACCCTAGTACAAAAGTGACACTTGACCTATCGATGACAATTTTATCTCTTCCTTAATTGATTTACTAATTGCTATCAGATAAATACAGCAATTTGAAATCTTCGTTACGTGTAGAATATGATTAAAATGAAATTAAAATATTTTGAAAGTTTTATTTTGGAAAAGAAAATTTTTAATCTTTGTTGAAATCAAATGTTAATCATCATTTATTTAGTGTAATTTATTTTTCGAAAATAATACTACATGATCAAAAATTATCTCCAAATTATCGTATGAAAATTTGATGATTCATTTCATGATAGTTTATTTTTAATTTACTCTACCGATAGTTGCATTAAAACAAAAATTTTTCATCAAAAATTAAATTGATAATGAAAATTACTCAAAAGTCTGCTATCGCTAATATTCCTATTGTTACTAAACAAATAATAAATTTGAAATTAGTTGTCGTTTGACTTTAATTAAATCAATTTACTTTCTTGATTTTATCAAAATTTCACCACGAAAGGGTAATTTTATGATGAAATTACACTTTTTATAGACCATTCATAGATGATACAGATCTTTTATGTGCAGTATAGCAACCACAACTTTTTCAAATTAAAAAAATTATTGCTAATTCAATTCCGATAGGAATTCTTTTAACATCTCAAGTTTTTTCTTGCTAAAAATTTACAAAGATTTTCAATGTGTTTTTTCTAAATAACCTTCAACTATAATTTAAAAAAAATAAAACAACATTTAAAAAAAGAAAATGATGGAATCATTATCTCTGTCTCATTCAAACTCATTCAAAATCACTCAAATTTGATAATCTTTCTAATTGAAAATTCTTGATTAACAAATGATTCGAATAACCATCGTGAATATACTTTCCGATCAATATTGATAAATAACAATGACAATAATTAGGAGTGAACGGAGCTAGCAATTAAACTGATTAATTTAAGTAAATGTCAAATATGAAATAAATGAGTAAAAAATAAACAACAAAAAAAAAAATGTTCCAACGTTATATTTTAAAACTATATTTAAACTGTACTACTGCATACTCGCAATTGTCTCATTATTGGTTGGCATTAGTCACAGATGCTAAACAGTTTCATATTATTCAATTCTACAGATAATTTAATTTATTACTGAACACTTAGTTCATTAGTAGGTCTAAATTCTAGGCTATACTTAAATTAGCAAAACAGTCTATGACTACAAGTTATATCTATTCATTTCATATATTTTTAATGAAAAAATTAAACTTCTTGAAAGAAAGAAAAAAGAAACTATCAATTTGAAATATTTTAAT